AAGGCCCCAGCAGGCAGAGCTGCAACCAAGGAGGTGATTAGAGGTCCCAGAGACACAGAGACCCGAGAGGGTAGCCCAGGGTGGGAGCTGTGGGCCCAAGGCAGGGAGGCAGGTGGGGGGGAACTGTCAGACGTGGGGCTGAGAGAGGACTCACACATACGCCAAATGCCATGGCGCGCCTGGGACAGGAAAGAGGGATCAAAGAGCCTGGGTTTAGGGAAAATGGTCAGTGCTTGTTCTCCCAGAAACGCCCAGGTGGGGGAGATGGAGCCCCCAGGCCTGGCCACGGGTGATGCCAGGGAAGGTGGGCCGGCACTGCCATGTGGCCAGAGGAGGTAGAGGAGCCTCACCCTGGGGAACGATACCCCCCACCATGGCCCCTTTGCACTAAGGGCCCTGGGAGTTGACTCACTATGGCTGGGGTCGGTGTGGCCCCAGCCGGACACCCAGCACTGTGAGCCCCTCGGAAAATCTTGCTCCTCAGCCGGCAGGCACACGGCACCCACGGTGTCTGCAGAGAGGCGTGGTCTTGGTCTCCGCTCAGGCTCAACTTCCCTCCCTGCAGAGCCTGGGCGAGAGACCCAGGGCAGACAGACCCTCCCCAGCCTCCTTCTCAAACAGTTCTGTCTCCTGGCTTCCTGCATGGCTGTGCAGGTTGTGCACTAGCCCCACTTGGGGGTCACCATTCACAGAGGACAGTGAGCAAACTGCACCCACTACCCACCCCAACTGGGACTCAGGAGTCAACAGAAACTCCTACCTCAGCCTCCTCCTGAGTAGCTGGGGCTACAGGCATGCACCACCACACCTGGCTAATTTTTTTTTTCTTGTAGAGACGAGGTCTCACTCTGTGGCTTAGGCTGGTCTTAAACTCCTGGACTCAAGTCATCCTCCTGCCTCAGTCTCCCAAAGCTCTGGGATTCCAGGCGTGAACCACCACTCCCAGCCTCTAAGTAACTTGTATAGTAAATCATTTAACCATTCAGAACCTTGATTTTCACTTCTATCTAATGAGGCTAAAAAATACCTGCTGCTCTAGGTTTTCTTGGTAAGACTTGAATGAGAAGATGGATGCCTATATCCCTGTAAACTCTCAAGTTTATCATCTACCACTCGCCCCCATGCTCAACCTCGGAGTCCTCATTTGGGCTTTCCCAGAATGACTGGTCCCTCTTGGGGTTGTGTTTCCATCCTATGGGCTGAGCCAAACACGATTTCGGTGGTACGTGCCGCTAAATAAACACCTGGGGAGAAAACGACTTCCTTGTTAACTCTCTTTCAGTTGTTCTAACTGCCTCAGACAGAAAGCCTCCGTTGGGGGCTAGTCTGCTCCTCTCTTATTGCTGTCAACCTCCCATCTAGACAACCTCCCATCTAAGCAGGCGAGGACAGGTCCAGGGGCATCAACTTCTGGAGAAGACCCAGCTGCCTAGACCAGAAACAGGGATTTGTTTTCACACTGTGGACTGCTGAGTTTTTTGGAAATATACTTAAGTCGATTTAGAAATATTAACTGTCAAATGATAGTTCACCTGTGTGATAAAATTTGTGACGCAGCATGTTTGGCAATGACTGTTTGGGAAGCCTAAGGCATAGGTGATGTTGGAGGGGAAGTGCTGGGTGTGTGTGAGTGTCTCCGTGTGCGTGCTGGAGCGTGTGAGGGTGTGCGGGCGTGCGCATGAGTGTGGTGTGAACATGTGTGTGCATGAGGGTGTGGGTTTGTGTGAGCACGTGTGTGTGAGCGCCCGAGTGTGAGTCTGTGTGCCTGTGACTGTGTGAGTGCACGTGTGTGTTTCTGTGAGTGCGTGTCTGTAGATGTGTGCTTGTGTATGTGTGCGTGTCGGGGAGGGCGGCTGCTGGGACACTGCAGCTGGTCTCACCTTCTAGGACAGCTATGGCAGGAAGAGCCCTGACCCCATAGGCAGGACATCAGGCTCAGAACTGTTTGCTGTGTGACCTTGAAGAGAGAGTTCCTCCTTCCCTAAGTTTCAGTGTCGATGTCTGTAAATACCTGCTTCGCCTACCTGTCAGGGTTGTTTCAAGGACTGAAAGAAAGGATATTTGGAATGTTTTATTCCAAATACCTGAAGGCATCTCATAAACATGTCACAAAATGGCTGGGACCTGGGTGGGCCTGGGGACAGGGTGGAGCAGCCTGTTTGTGGATTGGTGGATGGGGCAGCTGTGAATCTTAGCTTGGGACCTCGGGGCAGATCCCGCCTGCAGCCCAGCCATGAAGAGGGCCTGAGCCTCTGCCCCAACAGAGCCCTGTGCAAAAGTTGGTGAAATTTCAGGTCCGGGTGATACCAACATTCACTACGGTCCCCAGATAAACAGAGTGTTTTAAGGTTTGCGACACTCAGGGATAGGGGGAGACCTTGGAAATCAGCTCACGGGTCTCCTGCCCAGCCCCTGCCCTCTCCCAGCAGCCCCCTGCCTCCCCACCCCAGGGCCAGCATCTCACCTGAAAAGTTAAGTGGGGTTCGGAGCCGCAGGAGGGCCACATCGTAGTCGTGATTCTGGGCGCTGTAGAAGGGGTGGGGGATGATCCTCTCCACCACAGCCCCCTGGTGTGGCCTGACAGTGCTGTGGCTGACCAGCCCCGCGTGAACCCGCCAGTTAGACAGGCGGGACAGCCTGAAACTGCACACAGGGGCTATGCTGAGCCGGCAACGAAGGGGCGGAAGAAGTCAACAGAAATGAGGTGGCAAATGGAGGCTGCTGGCCAGGGAGGCCGTTAGTGGAGGCCCCGTCATCAGGCTGCGAGTTCCCAGGACCCAAGGACCATGGCTCTTAGTACCACTCCAGCAGGCAGAAAGACACTAGGCATGCAGTAGGTGCTTAATAAATGCTCAAGGGCTGATGGATAGAGAAGTGAGACACTATGGGCCATCTGTAACCACCACTCTCTCTTGCATAAGCCCCCTCCAAGTTTTGCAATAAACACAGAGGAGCTTCCTGCCTGAAAACTTCCTTCAGTCCTGTCTCTCCGGCTACTACATGTGATATGGGGTGCGGGGGGGGTACTTCCCCCACAGTCTGTTTTCTCATTGTAAAATGGGGATTTTACTCTCTGCCCTCCTGCCATCAAAAGAGGATCAAAGAGCATTCATACATTCATCATTCATTCATCCATTCATTCCTCCAACTAATATTTTCTAAGCAACAACTATGTTCCATGAACAGGCAACCGAGCCCTCTCCTCCCCAGCAGCTCCAAGAACTTGCCTGTGTATGCAGTGTGCAGCAGTCACCACCCAGCGAGGCGCCAACACAGAGCCCCCACACGTGTGCCGGGAGCCCAGGGTCACACTGGCCTGCCACGGCCAGCGTCCGGGAGCCACAGCCTGCCCACCAACTATCCGGGAAGCCAGGGGCCTTGCCCCACACTCTGCCAACAGAGAAGGGTGCGATAGAAAGAGGGAAAGAGAGAGAGGTGGGTGTCAGGATGGTCCTAGCTCTCAGGGAGCATGGCCCAGGGCCAAGGACAGGAGGCATGCACGGCTCTCCTTTCTTATTCCTGGTCCTAAGTATGGGGGATGGGGAGATAGAACTGTCAATTACATACCTGTCCCATTGGGCTGTGGGCCTGCTGAGAGCAGGGACTATGTCTGCACTATCTACGGAGACCCAATGCCTCAACAGAATGTCCATCCCCCAGGAGGGGCCAAAGGGTTGGTGAGTGGAAGGACAGATGAAGGGATGGCTAGATGAATAGGGAGACGGAGGATAGGAACTCCACAGATTGCTTCCCACTTGTGCCTAAACTCACCAGCTACGCTTAGTCTCCTGAAGCCGCTAACAGGTGACTCAATAGCCAATACTAATCTTCCTTTGGGGGTTCTCCAGAAGAAAGAGGGAGTGAGTGTCAGAGGCCATGTTAGAGAGTGGCAGGTAGTAAGGTAAGGAGATCATCAACCCAGACCCATGTAGAAGGACATGACAGAGGCTTAGAAAAGGCTCTCTTGGGGGTAGAATGGCATCCACAAGAAGGGACCCTGCAGGCAGATACACAAGTGGGCAAGGAAGGGCCCGGCCTAGCCGAGCCTCCCCCTAAGCGCTCTTCCATACTGGGGCATCTGGAACATTCCTTCCTCCCACCAACCCTTCCTGGGTCCCAGATGTGACTCACCAGAGCATTTGAGGAAAACAACTTGACCGGAAGTACAATTGTTCCTGCAAAACGAGCAACAGCAGGAAGCTGGGCCGGGCCCACCCTGCATCCCCACACATCCAGGGCACAGAGGACAGAGGTGGCCAGAAGAGGTGGGTGGACAGTTATTAAGGCTGGCACATCACCCTAGCCTTAAGAATCCCACCATTTCCTTCCGACCTTCCTCACCCCACCCCCGGGGGCCCTCCTCATAGCCAGTCCTGGGCTGCAGCCCACATTCTCCCCAGTGTCCTGGCAGGCGACAGAAGGACATCATGGTCCTTGAGGGTCAATTTGGGCAGGGCCCAAATTTACAAATAGGGTATGCCTAGACAAGAAAGCCCAGTTGTTCCTACAAAGTGCCCTGAATAAATCCATGTTGGACAGATGAAGGAATGGTGAGTGAACAGGTGGCGAGGACTCTTGAGCCCGGGCTCTTTACCAGGCTGCCTGTATTCTCCATCCCAAGCCTTTGTCTAGGCCCTGCATAATCCTTGTCTTGCGCTCGTCTTTTCCTTCCCTCTTAGCATAAGCATCAATTCCTTTTCGATCTAAACCCTCTCTCTTTACTTCTCCCTTGCTCCCAGCTGCCCGATGTCTGTCTCCCCTTTGATGCATCCCATTTCCCAAGCCCACAACCCGGCCAGCTCTCCTGGAGGGGTCAGCCCCACCCCTGCTTTCATTTTCCCATTCAGGTGTCTGACAGAGACCCCGTCAGAACCTCCCCCGTCTCCAGCATCTTCTCGAGGATGGACCTGAGGAGCTGGACAGGAGGGAGAGAAAACAGTTGGAAGTGGCAACGGGGGTGCCCATCTATCTATCCCAGGAGGCTGATGGGCTGCTTAGGGAAACCCAGAAAGAAGCAAAGACCCTCTCTGCTTGTGCCCCTGTCATGCTAGACCCACCCCCAGGATTTGGGCAAGGTCTGCTCCATTCCAGAGCCGCCTTCTCTGGAAGACTCTCCAGGCACAAGCAGCTCTTAGCCAGAACAACTCGACCATCTTTCTCCTGAAATGTCAGAATTGTCTGAATAAAGTGTGGCAGAGTTGAGAGAGCACCTAGTTTGGCGATGGGAGCCTAGTTTCAAGGCTCGGCTTGGCTGCCTGTTAGTTATGTGGCCTTGGACCCTTTAACCTCCTTAGCCTCAGTTTTGCGACCTGTCACATGAAAATAAGAGTGCCATTTTTAGGGGGGGGTTGGGTTTTTTTGAGTTGAAGTCTCACTCTGTCACCCAGATCCTTCTGCCTCAGCCTTCCAAGTAGCTGGAACTACAGGCACACACTACCACACCCGGCTAATTTTTTTTTTTTATTTATTGTAGAGATGAGGTCTCGCCAAGTTGCCCAGGCGGGTCTCAAACCCGCGGGCTCAGGCAATCCACTCACCTCAGCCTCCCAAAGCACGGGATTACAGGCTGAGCCACCGAGCCCGGCAAGAGTGCCATTTCAGATCCTGAGACAGTAACAATAAGCCCTGCATTTCCTGTGAGGGGCAAATAATGTATGTGAAGTTGTGACAGGCAACTTCACCTACATGTGAAACTCACAAACTCATGTGAACTGAGTTTGTAATTTCTGATTAGGGCCAGGCACAGTGGCTCATGCCTATAATCCCAATGTTTTGGGAGGCAGAGGCGAGAGGATTGCCTGAGCTCAGAGGTTCGAGACCAGCCTGGGCAACTTGGCAAGACCTCATCTCTACAATAAATTAAAAAACTAGCCAGACATGGTGGTGCATACCTGTAGTCCCAGCTACTTGGAAGCTGAAGTGGAAGGATCGCCTGAGCCCAGCAGGTCGAGGCTGCAGTAGCTGTGATCAGGCCACTGCGCTCCAGCCTGAGTGACAGAGTGAGACTCCGACTCAAAAAAAATCTGATTAGGAAATGTTCATCTTGGTCTTCCTGTCTTCAATCTCCAATATTCTCACCACAAGGTTCCTGCAAGGAATATTTTTGCTGGACTAACCTGGTAAAGGACCTGGCAAAAGGCCCCACTCACCCACTCAACTCAGAAGTCCTACCTGGGCTGCCATACCTCCTCCAGGAAGCCTCGTAGCCTAGGAGAGAGCTGAGCAAACTCTTGGGAGCTGTTGAGCTTGATGTCAGACAGGTTCACTCCCTCATGGTAAGTGAGACTTGGCAGAAGAAGGGAACAGAATGGGAGGAAGTCATAATTGGAATGGACATAAGATAGTATGCCATATAGCAGCTGAGCGATGACTTCCAGGATTTATGTTTGTTAAAGAACAGCAGTGCTCAAAGAGAGAACCGGCCTGGGATACCATCATGCCCAGAGGCCAGAAGATGACCAGAAAGGCCTCTTGTCATTTCCTGCTCACACTGACAGTGATGGGCAGGAGGAGGTCTCCAGCGCCCCTCCCCCCGCCCGCCAGTTCTCCCCTCCCTTGGCACCAGGTCTGGCTCCTGTTACCTGAGATGCCCAAGGCTCCGGCAGATCCGCACCCCCAGGGCAGGGCTCCAGCTCTCATAGCATACCAGGAGCCAGTCTTGCCTGGCCCTCACCTGCACTTCCAACAAGTCCTCGCTGTTTACTCTGAAAGATACTGAAATCACAGCACGAAATCCACATCCCACACGGCAGGGAAGGGGGAAGATGGTGGCAGGGTAGGACAGGACGACCTGGACCTGGGACTCTGTAGGACCTATAAAGGCCTTAGTGATAGTGTCTGGGTCACCCGATGTCAAGCTCCCTGGTCCCTGGGGTGTCAGGCCAGCCTAAGAACAATATCACCCCTGCTGGTGGAGAATTTCTGTTTTGTAATTTAACCAAGCGCTTTGACACATACTTGCTGTCACAGCAGCCCTGAGCCATGCGTATTCTCATCCTCTCCATTCTGCGGAGGGGAAACTAAGTCACAAAGGTTAAACAACCTACCCAAGATTACAGAATCAGCAAGGGATGGATCAGGACTTAAGTCCAGGTCTGTGACTTCAAATCTAGTGACAATAATGGTTACCATTTATTGAGTGTCTGCTTTTTCCTTGCTGTTATGGACTGAATGGTGTCTCCAAGATTCCTATGTTGAAGCCCCACTCCTCAAGATGACTATATTTGGAGACAGGATCTTTAAGGTCATTAAGGTGAGATGAGGCCATGAGGGCGGGCCCTAACACAATAGGGCCGATGTCCCTATAAGAAGAAGAGACACCAGAGATGTGTCTCTCTCCTCAAGAACAAAGGAATGGTGCTGGGAGGAACAGCGAGAGGCAGAGCCTTCTCTAGAAACTAACTTTGGCAGCACCTTGATCTGGACTTTCAACCTCCAGAATTGTGAGAAAATATGAGGAGGGACTCAGAAAAACCCAGAATTATTTTTTGGAAGGTGAGCCCTTTGTAGTACAGACTTCTTCCGCTGGGTGAATGTTCTAGGAACACATAGGCATCAGTGTACCAACTAGCGTTGTTGTGAGAGGCTCCATTGCAAAAGAAATGCCCTGAGTTGTGGCCAACAAGTGATTGGTTCTTCCAACATGACAACACACCTGCCTATACCACACTGAGTGTTCAGTAGTTTTTGGCCAAAAACAGCATGACCCCCTGTGCCCCACCTTCTCTATTTACCTGATCTCACCTAGCGACTTTTATTGTCTGTTTCCCCAGATGAAAAAATCCTCATCGGGAAACATTTTGCTGATGTGGAAGAGGTGAAACAAAAAATGACAGAAGCACTAAAAGGCATCAAAACCGACGAGTTCAAAAACTATTTTGAGCAGTGGAAAAAGCATCTCGATAGGTGTATTGCATCAAAGAGAGATTACTTTGAAGGTGACTCAAAGTAATTTAAGCATGTGAGAATAAATATGCCATTTTTTATAAATAAATTCAGGGTTTTGGGGGGTCTTCCCTCATACATATCTGTGGTTTAAGCCACTCAGTCTGTGGTGTTTTTGTTATAGCAGCCCAAGTAGGCTTATACACAGGCTGTATGCTAAGTTTTTTTTATATATTAGTTTGTTTTATCATCATAACTTTATACTGTGAGCATTTTTATTTCCATTTTATAGAGAAGGAAATGGAAGCTCAAAGAAGTAACGTTCCCAAAGTCACGCAGCTAGCAAAAGACAGCATTATACTGCCTGATCCTCAACTCTCCTACCTGGAGGGAATAACAACGGGGGAAGGGGGATGGGACAACATGGGGTGATGTTCCCAGACCCCTGCTGGTCACACTCTGGCTCCCACACACACCCAGCCCCTTTCCCCCCACATCGTCGCTGGCTCACTCTGCTCCAAATGGCAAGTTTCCATCCCTCCTGCCAATCTGGGCTCCTAACCATGCCCCAGCTGGGCATCAGGACTGTCCTGGGGGGGTGTTGAAGGCCCCAAATCAGAGATGACTCCACAAGGCCAGACCCTGTCACCACCCTCACACTCTTCATGCTGGTCCTCTGGCTCCCAGCTGGGAAGGGACCCTGGGTGGGGGAGGGAGTCCAGTAGCCTTGGGGGTGTGGCTCACCTGTTTTGGGATGTGCAGGGAGCAGAGCTTCCTCACTGCTGACCTCTGAGCAGCTCAAAGGCGCCTCCTCATCCTGCACGGTCCCGGAAATGGGCTGAGAAGCAGCTGGCCACAGATAGAGCACTTCAGAGGACAAAGAGAGGGTCGCAGAGAAGAGGTGAGTGAGGGGAGGGATTTCCACAGGATGGGGTCAAGGAGCAGAACAAGACACTCCTGGCCAGAAGCAAAAGCAGTTGCCTGGGGACTTAGCCACCCTGCTTCAGGCAGGTCTCCAGCTAACCCGCAGGGAGAGGCCCAGCACTCAGTCTCTCTTTCTCTCTTTGACTCCTCTTTCATCCCATGTCTCAGTGTGTCTCTGTCTCTCTGTGTGTCCTTCTCTCTCATTGGGAACGATTTCTGGAAAAAGTCTGACTAGGGCCTCCTTGGTCTTATGCTTCTCACTGGAGAACTAAAGCGTTCTTCCTTATTTAGGGCCTAAATCCCTCCCGCTGCAATCTCACTCCTCCCCCCTTGTCCACACAGAGCAGATGAAGACACTCTCCCTGTGTTTCTTTAATACCCGCTACTGTCTTCCAGCTTCCCCCAGATCCTGTTCCGTGTCCCTCCCCAGACCACAGGCGGGGCCCAGCACTGACCTAGGAGTGATGAGCTGACACCAGCACCTGCCAGCAGCCCCAAGGCACCCAGCACAGCACAGCCACGTCGCAGGGAGCACCAGCGCCCCTCCTGAGAGACTAGGAGAGGGCAGAGGAGTGTCTGGGCTCCCTGCTCCCGCAAGCCAGCCTTACACCACCCTGCAGCACTCCCATGGGGCTAGGCACCTCCCCCTGCCCTTCAGCCTGGAATGGGTAAAGGCAGCACCCACTCAATCCTGGGTAAAGGCAGGGCCTGATCCCTGAAGTCCTCGGGGCCCACTCAATCCCCAAAACGGGAATCAGGGAGCAAAAGCAGGACTGGGTACAAAGCATGAGATGGCCTCCCACCACCAGTCACGTGGGGCTGGCCCAAGGAGGACCCAGGGATGCAGGAAGGCTACCCTCCACTGCCCCATCCTGCCATTCCCCTACTGTCCCGTCTGGCCTACTGGGTTGCTGCTGGTCTCCAGGCTCTGCTCTGAAGATCCCAGGTCTCGGGCCCTCCTCTGTGTACGGCGCCTCCATAGGGACCTGGTCATCCAGCATCAGCCTCTGGGAAAGGGACGCACAGGATCCCCACGTTACGGACCGCCAAGGGAAGTCCCAGCTCACCCCAAGTCCCCATTCTCTACCTCGGCTGTGCCCTCAAAGCCAGTTGTAAACCTTTTTTCATCTTGAGGACTCCCTCTCTGACCCCACAGACATCCCTCCACACCCTCTGCTCTCCTGCTGCCCCTAGCCCCGCCCACCTTACTCTCACGTGGCCAGTAGGTATCGGACCAAGACTCCAATCCGGACTTAGCCCATTCCTAAGCCCACACCCTTGACCACGCCCTCGTCTTGCCTTCCAGGAGCATCAAGGGCATCTGACGAGGTCCCTTAATGTCCTTCCTTAGGGCTTCAAGATCTCACCCTCCTTCATTCCCTCCTCAGAGAAAGGAGGGCCCCTCCCCCACATACCCACCCGTCATTCAGTAGACAATTATTTTATTTTTATTATCATTATTTATTTATTTATTTAACTTTTTTAGTAGGAGCCTCACTCCGTCACTCAGGCTGGAGTGCAGTGGCACACTCATGGCCACCGCAGCCTCAACCTGCTGGACTCAGGCCCTCCTTCTGCCTCAGCCTTTCAAGTAACCGGCACCACAGGCACACACCCCCACGTCCAGTTAATTTTTTGATTTATTGTGGACACAAGGTCTCAACAAGTTGCCCAGGCTCGTCTCGAACCCCCAGGCTCAGGCAATCCTCTCGCCTATGCCTCCCAAAGTGCGGGGATTACAGGCGTGAACCACCATGCCTGGTCCCGGTAAACAGTACTTAGCCCACGTGCAGAGGTCACTATGGGAACCTTATAGGGAATTCATGAATAAGTCAACATGATCATCCCTCTACAACGGCCTCAAAGAATTTGCAGTCTAGTTCTGTCGATAAATCGGATAACAAAGCAGAATATGTTAAGTGACAGATGAAAACCGGTGACCGTAAAAGCATCATCATCATACAAAAGAACAAGAGCTTAGTTCTCACGGCGATCAAGCAAAGCTCCCTAGAACAGGCAGCCTCTGAGACAGGACCCTGTGAAGAGGGTTTGACGCGGTATCTATGGGCAGTGGGTAGTCCAGGCAAAGAGGACTGCATAGGCGAAGGCTTGGGAACAAGAAAGCACAGAGAATGAAGCCCAAGCCATGAAGAAGAGTGAAGGAAACAAGATCTTAGAAAAAAACACTAGACAGCTACAAGCCAGGTCTAGAACCTACTCCGTGAACTTGGACAACTCTGGCATCTCCCCAGACGTCCATTTTCTCATTTATAAAATCAGGGTGAGAACTCCTACTTCCAGTGAATAATCTTCCTCCTCTGGTGCTGTCTCCCCCTGTTATTCTCCACACTCTAAAGCGAGAGGAATTTTTCTAACATGCAAATACGAGCACGTGAACCCCATCTATTTAGTACCCAGTGGGTCTCTGTAGCCTTCAGGATCAATCCAGAGCTCCCTGGCACAGCTCACAAGGTCTTCCATGGTCTCACCCTCCTCGGCTTTCCATCCTCACTGCCAGCACTAGCTCCCTCCACCATGAAACTTGGGGTCAGGCTGACACGTGTGCCATTGCTCAGCACCTCTGGGCACTGTTGCGTCCCAGGGGCGCTGCCCTGCTGTCTTCTTCCCCACCTAGCTGACTCCTATTGACTCTTCAAGACTCAGCATAGGTATTACTTCTCCGTGGAGCTTCCTTTGACACATACAGCACCTGTTGTGGCCCTATATTGTGCTCATTTACTTCTCTTTCTCTCCTTCCTCACTGATCTATGCATCCCTGGGCTGAGCTCAGGGTCTGGCACAAAGAGGTGGGAATTCAGTTGAAGTACATTGCAGGGAGGGGCGGAGAGAGGGAGGGAGGGAGGGAGAGAGGAAACAATACAAGTCTCTGTAAGTTGTAAAGCACTGCTGGGAGGAGTGGCTCACTCCCAGAATTCTCGGAGGCTAAGGTGGGAGGATTGCTTGAGCTCGGGAGTTCAAGAACAGCCTAGGCAACCAGCAAGACTTCGTCTCTACAAAAAATTTTTTTAAAAAAACTAATCAGGCGTGGTGGCATGTGCCTGTAGTCCCAGTTACTCAGAAGGCTGAGGCAAAAGGATCACGTGAGTCCAGGAGGTGGAGGCTACAGTGAACTGTGATTGTGCTACTGTGGTCCATCCTGAGTGATGGAGTGAGACCCCAACTCAAAAAAAAAAAAAAAAAGTAAAGCACAATACAAATGTCAAGTATAATAATATGAAAAGAAGTACATATAAGCTGTGGATGCTTCCCCAAGGAGCTTATAATCCAGTGGAGCAGATAAGACCCCCTTAAAATTGAAACGATTTCCATCTCCCCTGCAGACCACCTTTCCCTGTCAATACATTGAGTGACACCCATGATCACAAACACCTGAAACCCTGACTCCAAAACAGTGCTAACTTAGATGTTCTTTTCTTTTCTTTTTTGAGTTGGAGTCTCACTCTGTCGCCCAGACCGGAGTGCAGTGGCCGCTCCCGGCCACCGCAGCCTCAACCTGCTGGGCTCTGGCGATCCTTCCGCCTCAGCCTTCCAAGTAGCTGGAATTACAGGCATGTGCTACCACGCCCAGCTGATTTTTTGATTTATTGTAGAGATGAGGTCTCGCTGCCCAGGTGGGTCTCGAACCCGCAGGCTCAGGCAATCCACTCGCCTCAGCCTCCCAAAGGCGCGGGATGACAGGCTGAGCCACCAAGCCCGGCTAGATGTGATTTTCATGTGTCGCACGGAACTTTCCGTTCACACCAAAACCCTCCAAATCCTGCCTTCGTGCTCCCCTGAGCTAGCCTTCTGGACTTTCTGGCTGAGGCACAGAAAGCTTTGTCAGGCTCACCCAGGTCAGTCACCCTGAAAATCATTCCACTGGACCCATGAGCCTCCATGCCCATTCAGTTCACAAATGGGGCAGCAGCCCACAGCTTCCCAGCTGAGGTGCCAGCCCCACCTCCCCATCCCCACACCAATCACAGCCCAGGACCTGTAGGCCTGGACTGCCCACCAGCAGGAGGCCTTGCTTCCCTGGGAGAAGCACAGGTCATGGTTTGCATCCTACCTCACGCCCTCGTTCTCGTGTGGAGAGATGAGACTCATGGGACAGGGCAACGAGGCTGAAGGACAGCAGGCTTGGAGAGACGGTCGAGCACCCGGAAAAAAGTTGAAAAGTAGCAACAGAATGTGAGGTTTGTGTTTCTCCTCTGGGGATATGCTTTCTCGGGAGCCGATGTCCCTCTGAGCAGAGACGTGGACCTGGTCTTAGAGATAATTCCAGGGCATGCCCAGCCTTTCCTTCCAGCTCAGTAACATGGGAGTCTGGCTTTAAACTCAGCCTCTGAACAAACTGCCCCACCTCAAAAACCGAAGTCAGCTTCCCAAGCTCATGCGGTGGCCTTTAACGGTTAAGCCCTTGGTCCTCTTTTTGAGTGGAAATTCAGGGTACTGGTGATTTGCTAAGCACTGTCTGTGTGCAAAGTACTTGATATGTCTATGGTGGACAAGAAAGAAGAAGCAGTCCCGGCTGGACTCAGTGGCTCAGCCTGTAATCCCAGCACTTTGGGAGACAGAAACAAATGGATTGCCTGAACTTGCGGGTTTGAGACCAGCCTGGGCAACTTGGCGAGACCTTGTCTCTACAATAAATTTTTAAAAATTAGCTGGGTGTGGTAGCACGTGTCTGTGGTTCTGGCTACTCAGAAGACAGAGGCAGAAGGATCATCTGAGCCTAGCAAGTCAAGGCTGCGTGACCATGAGTGTGCCACTACACTCCAGCCTGGGCGACAGAGTAAGACTCCAATTCAAAAAAAGAAAGAAAGAAGCAGTCCCTGGGGAAAAAACAGGGGATTGGCCGCACTGGGCCCCTGTGCCAGAGCTGCCCAGGGAGGTTCCTTCAACCAGCCTGGAATCCCAAGAGTAAGGGAGAGAAAGAGAGAGGGAGAGAGAGAGAGGCTGGGCAGGGATGAACAGAGGCGTGGTCTTACCATAGGGGTCGTGGCACTGTTGCAAAGCCTCAGGGTCTGCCAGGCAGCGTTCTGCTCCCGTTCTCAAGCCAACACTGATTAAAAAGCCCAGCTGGCTTGGATGGAAGATGAGGTCTCCCTGGTTCGCACACGGCTCCTCCCTGCGTCCTCTCTCCACACACTCACACAGACACGCACCAGGGAGACAATGAACCCTGCTCAGGACCCATGAATAGGCCCCTTGTTCCAGGAAAGGGGACCCTGGACAGCCCCGGCCCCTCCCATCTGCTAACTGGAAGCTCAGAAACAGAGAAAAAGGTTACAGGGAGGAGGGGAGGCCAGAGCCTCTGTTGCTTAGCAACCAGGTCCCTTGTGCCAAAAAGTGTGGCCCATGCATGCTAGCACTGTTCTCCCTTCCTGCTGACAGGGCTGTGTTGGAGACCCATATTAGCATTTGTTGAAATGTTTCTGAGCCCTCTGGATTATAGCTTGCCTCTGAGTGGGTTGGCTTTCCTAGCATTCTGGGGCTCTCACCTTGTTGGAGTTGCTGGGGTGATGATGAGGGATCTTTGTCACTTCTCTCCCCAGGGCTACACCCGTCACCCCAATGCCAGAGAAGTGGGGCCTCTCCGCCCTCTCTGCCCCGGGGAGCCAGTTGCCATGGGAGCCCTCAGTGCTATCTTGTTTCAAAGCACATGATGGACCAGCCAAGCCCAGGTTGGGCTGACCGCACCTGGGAGCCACACACGTCTCTTTAGACAAGGAGGCAAAACAGGTCCCGGGGTTGCGGGGAGGTTGATGGGGTTTCCCTTGTCCAATCAACACCTCCCAGATCCCTCAGATGGGGCAGTTAAGAGCACAGGCTTCAGAGTAGGGTCTTCATCCGACCCCATTTCTACCACTTCCCATACTCAGCCTCACCTATAAAATGAGCATAATAGTACCAACCTCATAGAGTTGATGTTAGAATTAAACGAGATATTGAATATCAAGCTCTTAGCCTGGTGTCTAGCACAGACTGTAAATAATACCTGTTCTTGTTATTATTATTATTGTTTTTGTTACTGCTGAACCTCACCCACACTGGATTTATTGTGTCTTTTTCGACGCTATTTTCCTCACACACTCAGTATGTCAACTCTGAGTTTATAGTCACCTCACAGAGCTCTCTACACAAGACAGTGAAGAGACATGTGTCAATTATAAATTACAGAAAGAAATGGTAGCCAGAGCTGAGAATCTCCTGGCTAGAATCTGAGGTCTCCTAGGGCAATACTCTTTAGGTTACAAACCTGAATATCTACTGTGTGTCATAAACTGACCTGGGCATAGTGGATAAACAAGTCACAGACTGGGTGCTCACAGGCTGGAAAAAGATAGAAGGCTGGGTGCAGTGGTTCATGCTTGTAATCCCAGCACTTTTTGGAGGACAAGGTGGGAGGACTGCAGGAGTTCAAGACCAACCTAGGCAACATAGCAAGACCCCCCATCTCTAAAAAGACAAAAATTTTAAAAATTAGCTGGGTGTGGTGATGATCACCTCTAGTCTCAACTACTCAAGAGGCTGAGGTGGGAAGATCACTCGAACCCAGGAGTTTCAGGCTATGGTGAGCCGTGATCATGCCACTACACTCCAGGCTGGATGACAGAGTGAGACTCCAACTCAAAAAAAAAGCAAAAAGCATAGAAACAGATATAAATAACTGTTATTTATGAAAAGTAAATCCAGAGCTATAAGAGGATAGAGGAATGGCTGGCTCCTTTGTCCAGGGGACACAGAGAGGGCTTCACAATGGAGGAGACATTTGAACTGAGTTTTAAGAAGTGAGAGAGCAACCACAGGGAAGAGCATTTAAAATACACCGCAGGCTGGCACAGTGGCTTGCATCTGTAATCCCACCCTTTGGGAGGCAAAGGTGAGAGGATTACCTGAGCCCAGGGATTTGAGGCCAGCCTGGGCAACTTGGCAAGACCTTGCCTCAACAATAGATCAAAAAATAAGTGGGGTGTGGTAGCAAACACTTGGGAGGCTGAAGTCGAGGCAGAAGGCTGAGACAGTGGCAAACATGATCGTGAGACTGCATTCTGGCCTGGGGGACTGAGTGAGACTCTGACTCAAAAATAAATAAGTAAATAATAAATAAAATGCATTGCCAGATGATGTCAATGAAAATGACTGAGTAAATACCTCTGAAAACTCCCTCCTCCACAAAAGCAATGAGAAAGCTAGCAAAAGTGGTCAGAATCAACTTTTTTAGAACTTTAAAAATTAATCAAAAGCTTACAGCAATCTGGGAAGTGCTTATTAAAAAAAAAAAACCCACAATCTCAGTAAGACTACTGACCTTTGTGGCATTTTGACTTGCTCAGATTCCATTCCCCTCACTCCAGCTCTGCAGTAATCTTAAAATCCAGCATCTCACAATCACAGTGAAAAACAGCAGTCTGGCAGCTACAAGAAGGGGTAGAACAGGCTTGGATCTGCTTCAAAGCCCCATTCCCAGAGAGCTGTCATTATCTGACCTCTTTGGTGGTTCCCTAGAAGATCTCATTTGCAAAGCTGTCTTTATTTGACCTGACTCGGAGTTTGCCCAGTGTGAACAGCTTTTTTCCAAAGGGCATTTGTTGAAAACAACTGGAGACAATTGTTAGACTTTGTGGCTTCCTGAGACAACAGATAATAGTTGGGGCAAACAATAGGCTAACCAAAAGTCTTAGAAGAAAAATCTGGGGAATAAAATGTCTATAAGGAGGTTTTATTTTTTTATTCTTTTTTATTTTTTTTTTTTGAGTTGGAGTCTCACTCTGTCACCCAGACTGGAGTGCAGTGGCCACTTCCGGCCACCACAACCTTGACCTGCTGGTCTCCGGTGATCCTTCCGCCTCAGCCTTCCAAGTAGCTGGAACTACAGGCGCACGCTACCACGCCTGGCTCATTTTTTATTTATTGTAGAGATGAGGTCTCTCCAAGTTGCCCAGGTGGGTCTCAAACTCGCGGGCTCAGGCAGTCCACTCACCTCAGCCTCCCAAAGGCGCGGGATTACAGGCTGAGCCACCGAGCCCGGCTATAAGGAGCTTTTAAAGGTTCTGAAATATTCCTGGAAATCTAGAAAGCCACATATGTGCATAGGACTGCACATGCCCTGGGCTATGCTCATGTGCAGGAAAGACCTAAGGAAGGTGTTAGACTCTCACCACTGGCTAACCTTGAGGTGCTGCACAAGCAGGAAGGCTAAAGTGAAGTTGTAAACTTCCTGTCTGAGTGTTGAAGGCATGTCCCAAGATACACACAGAGCCCCTCTGCAAAGACTGGGTGACTTACTGGCTCCAAGCATCAAGGCAGTCTCTGTCCAATCATTAGCTGACCAATGAGCAGAGACTGCAGTAGCCAAACATAATAAATAATACACACTTTACTGAATTAGTTCAAAAAAGACACTAAACAAAAAAGCAAGCAACAGCAACAACAAAAAACCCTGGAGAAGAGGGAGAGTTTTATTTCCAGAGTTGCTGGATTATATTAAATTATTGAACATGCAGTTTTCAACAAGAAATTATGAGGCACACAAAGAAACAAGAAAATAAGGCCCACACAAAAGGGAAAAAAGTAATCAATAAAAACTGTCCCCGAGGAAGCACAGACATTAGACTTATAACAGGAAGACTTTAAATCAGCTATTCTGTATATGTTCAAAGAACTAAAGGAAATCATGTCTAAAGAACTACCAGAAAGTATGAGAACAATGTCTTATTCAGCAGAGACTATCAATAAGGGGATAGAAATTTTATATATATATATATATATAATTTTTTTTTAAGATCCAAATAGAAATTCTGGAGTTGAGCAATATAATAACTAAAAATAAAAATTTCACTAAAGGAGCTCAACAACAGATTTAAGAAGGCAAAAGAAAGAATCTATGAAATGAAGATAAGTCAATTGATATTATCCAGTCTAAGGGACAGAAAGAAAAAAACAAAAGAATGGAGAAAAATGAACAGAGGCTCAGAGACCTTTGAGAAATTAACAAACCATCAGCGTATGCATAATGAGCAGCCAAGAAAGGGGCAGACATAATATTTGAAGAAATAATGGTCCCAAACTTCCCAAATTTGATGATAAATATTCATCTCACATGGAAGGAGCTCAATGAACTCGAAGTAAGATATATCAAAGAAATCCACACCTAAAAACACCCTAATCAAACTGTTTAAGGCCAAAGACAAAGAGAGATCCCTGAAAATCACGAGAAAAGCAACAGGCCACATACAAGGGATCCTCAATCAGCAGTTAAACACTTGACAGTTGACTTATCAGAAACCACAGAAGCCAAAATGCACATTCTAAGTCCTTAAAAAAAGCAGGTCCTCATCAAACTGAAGAGCTTCTGCAAAGCAAAAGAAACCATCCAGAGAGTGGGGAGACAGCCCACAGAATGGGAAAAAACATTTGTCAACTCTATATCTGACAAAGGCCTAACATCCAGGATCTGCAAGGAACTCAAACGTGCTGAAAGGGAAAAAAAGAGGCCGGGCTCGGTGGCTCAGCCTGTGATCCCAGCGCTTTGGGAGGCCGAGGTGAGTGAATTGCCTGAGCCTGCGGGTTCAAGACCCACCTGTGAAACTTGGTGAGACCTCATCTCTATAATAAATCAAAAATTCACCATCTTCACCATCCTGGAGTTCTTCATCGTGGTCATTGCCACCCACTTCGGGTGCCAAGCCACCCATGCCCAGGTCGACGCACCTGTGATCTTCCTGCCTAACGCCTTTGACACAGACTTCAACATCCCCAGGCAAACAGCCTCCCCACTCCCAGCCTATGACAACGTGGCGTGTATACCCAAGGAGTCCTCCGAGTAGCCGATCTCGGCCCCTAAGACTTGGGGTCCAGCCTTTCCCCTCTGAGCCCAGCCTCTGCCTCCCCAACCTTGCACATGGCGGGGGACAGCCGTTCCCCAGTGGTCCCCCCTCCCAGCCAGTCCACACATTGTTGCGTGCCCCAAATACGTCTGTCTTTTCCCCAGTGGTTTCTTTCCTAACAGATGCCAGGTTGGTATCAAGGACGTGTGTTATCCAGCTCCCTGAACCCTGCCACCCTTCCAGAGACTTTCCCACCCACTTGTGCTGCTGTGCATTTCGCTCTGTTCATTTGGGGGCAATCTGGCCTCCCTAGAGACCTACCTTGACCCTCAGGCCTTGGGAAGGTTATTAAGCTCAGAGAACCCAGGATCCTCCAGAAGAGAGGAGAAACTGGCCGTGGCCTTTCACAGAGGTGCAAAGATCAGGCCAAGGTCTCTGATGGGCCCGACCTCGAGTCTCCTGGCCCCAAGACCTTTGTCATCTGCTACCACATCTTCGGGCCTCAGTTTTCCCAGCTGAAAAACTAACGTCTCGAACCAGATAAACTGGGAGGCCCTTCCAGCCCTCCTGGGCTCCCTGAAGTCCTGGGTCTAGGCCAGGCACTGTCCTCCACTCCCTCCAGAAACCCTCACATTCCTCATCTGTCAAATGGAGTTGGTATTGACTGCGGCCCTGCCCATCTCCCCAAGTAGGACAGGTGGGAGGGGAAGGTGGATGCCAGGGCCCTCCTGAGGTGACACCACAGTCAGCATCGACAGGGACACAACGATGCAACCTGGGACCTCCCTGTGCCTTTCTGTGCTCCCACCCCACCCCCACAGCCTGAAGGGTACCACAGGAGTGGGGCTGAGCCTCCAGGGGATGAGGAGA